GTGTAAACAGATGGGCATGAGTCAATCTCGAATGCCTAAGTTAAAGTCGCGAATTAGAACTTGGCCCTGGCGGGTGCTGGGTAGAGGCAACTGTATTGTGACGTTGGGCTGGACTTTGTGGAGATGGGAGGGTTACGCGTCCCATTTTGCGTTGCGACAATGTGAGTTCGAAAGAGACTAGAAACTCTTCATATCGGTAGGTAGGACAGCAACAAGGAGTTTCAAATTGATTGTGTCGCTTCTTTGGCTAGTAGTAGAAGTGAATTTTTTGCCCTGAAGCCGAAGTTGCTGTAATTGTTCTTGGATGCGAACTACGAGTGGACTGACTGTAAACAATGCCTTGAAGGCTTGCAGCGCACTCATGGTGTCCGTGAAGAGGACGAAGTGGAATTCTTGCAAATTGGTGATGTGGTTGAGGGCTTCAAGGATAGTGTATAATTCTTCAGTCAACACGCTGCGCTGCTGTAAGTTGGAAGTGAAAATTGAAGAACATGGATTGGTGTCTTCACTGCAGCGTCGACTCCCTGTGATGATTTACACGCATTCGCGAAGAGATAGAAATTGTGATTAGGACTCGGTAGTCTACCTGAATGACGGAATGTGGTGTAGTTAGTGACTGTTTTGTAGTTAGATAAAGAGGTATTGACCGGCAGTGGAGAATTGACCCCCCGAGGGTTTGAAACACGTAGTCTTTTGTTGAAAGGATTTTGAAGGCCTCAGTCAGTAGTTGATTCTAAGATTCGTCGTCTAAGAGGATTGTTCGGGTTTTTAGCGATGTGGACTGCATAACTGAGTCGAAGATAGTGTAAACGATCAGTGATCGGAGTTCATTTGCTAAGCAATGTTACGTAACTAGAAATCGGTGACGTTCAAAACGCGCCCAACACGAGTGTTCTGAATCTTGCAAATAGAGGTAAAGTACGATTTTTTACAGGTTGTAACGAAGCGAATTTTCGCGGGCCGGAAACCGTACCGCGTACCGCGAGAGCCGGGGGTAAATTGGCGACCGCCGCGCCGCCGCGGCGGAAGAGGATTCTTCCCTGCAACTCCAGAGAGTGCGGAAGTGCTGTGGCGATTGTGGGAATTTTTCTTGTTTTTGGAGAAGTGTGATAAAGTGAGCAGTTCGACCCTCCGACCACCGTAAGTACCTTTTTGGGTCGTCTGCCCGTCTTAGTACCGGTTTTCGAATCGCCGCCCCCGAGCGAGAAACCGTGTCACCGTCACCGCGTTTTTTTTTGTCACCGTCGAAAGTCGACACCGTCGTGCACGCGTCGTTACCGTCACCGCGCTCCCCTCCCGGGTCGCCGTACCGTCTTCGCGCGATTTCCAGGTTCAAGGTCGCCGCCCCCAGAGCCAAGAGGAGCCCGGCTGGAAGGAAGTCGCCGCCCAGGAGGAACGACCGTGCCGGACATTTAATTTTTTTTTGTTGTAAAACCGTTCTGTAGTTATTCAAGTTGATTAGCCGTAAGATTTATTATCTTAGAACGTGTAGCTGGTGGCAGGGAATAAACCCTATTTTTGTTATAAAATACCCTCGCCGTTTTATTTCTTATTCTCGAGTTTTCGCGGCGGCTCATCACCTGAATTCCGTGTCTCCGGCTTTAGAGCACCCCGGCGCTCCCTCCCCCGGAGAGGGAGTTGGCGCCCGAGCGACCGCCGCTCCTGACCGAAGGCGCCACCCCCGGCGGCGTGAAGGTAGCCGCATAAGCTTGGTCGACCAGACGTGTTACTATTATCAGCGATACTAGTCGACCCAAAGCTTGGCACCCAAGTACGCCGCCACCCCATACGTTATCGGCGAGATTCCGGACCGTCACCGGACCGTCCGTCCGTCCCTCTCATCCGGAATTTCGTCGCAAGGTAGAGTACACAATTGCTCCGTAGTCAATCCTTGATCTTATTATAATTTTGTAAACTTGGAGTAGTGTCACCGTATCAGCTCCCCAGCTGTGATGGGCTAAGACCTTTAAGAACTTAAGCAGTTTGGAACAGGTTCGTGTGAAATAATTTATGTGTGGCTTCCATGTCATATGTTGGTCGAAAATTAAATGTAAGAATTTATTTTCTTTTACATACTCTAGGTTGTCCTTTCCAAGTTTTAGAGTTGGTTTGTCTTGAACTTTTCGTTTAGTGAACTACATACACTTAGATTTAGTACTCGAAAATTTGAGGCCAGTCGTTGACCATTCTTCCAGATCTTGTAGGGAGCTCTACATAAGGTTACGCATAAACGCGAGATATTTTTTGGAAGATGTTATTGATGTATAACAGGAAAAGTGTGACACTGGTAACAGATCCTTGTGGTATTCCATTTTGAAGTCTCTTGACAGACGAAACGGTGTTGTTAATGTGGAAGTTATTGATATAGTGAGCAACTTTGCCCGTAAATCCAAGGTTGACCAGGTTTTTGAGGACGTTATCCCTCCAGGTCATGTCGTACGCTTTCTCGATTTAGAAAAAAATCGCTAACACTTTCTGCTTGTTTGTGAATGCTGTGGATATTTCTGACTCTAGATGGGCGATGCTGTGGATCTGTACTGTCGAAAATAGCTCTGACATGGAATCCCTCTTTTTCGAGATACCAACGGACGCGACGATTCAAAATTTTTTCAAGTAATTTACAAGTGCTGTTAGTTAACGCTATCGGGCGGTAGGAGTTTACATCACTTTTGGGCTGTTTTACGAACGGTAGTACAATCGCTTGGGACAAATGAGCGAAAACTGACGAGTTTGCCAGACTAGATTGAAGATTTTCAACAGAATCTGCTTTCCAGGTGAAGAAGAATATTTGAGGAAGACGATATGGATATAATCAGTGCTTGGAGAGGAAGTTCGAGTGGTAGTTAATGCTTCATCTAGTTCTAGGTGTGAGAAAGTGTCGTTTATAGGATGAGTTTCCAAATCGTGTCATACGAGTAGCCGAGATTCAATCTGTTTTTTCAATTGGCGAAATCGCGGGTCTTAATTTGAATCTTAATAGGGCATTTCAAATTTGTCGGCGAATAGCTCGAATATTGTGGTATAATAAAGCTTGCGGTGTTTGATATGAGGCGATTCCTTTAATTCTATTTATCTTATTCCACAGAGTTTTTGGCGGCGTCCTAGGAGTTAGCGTAGATACGAAGATATTCTAGGAAGATTTTTTTCTCTGCTTCATACAAAATCGTACCTTCGCTATATGTTTCTTAAACTCGACTAAATTTTCAACCGTTGGACGTCGCTTCCATTGATTAAATGCTCTCTTACTTTCTTTTATCGCCCACCGGATGTAATCTTCCCTATATATTTAGAGGCTTCATCAAGCAATATATTATTGAACTGGTGAATGGTCGTATTAATATCACAAGTTAATTGAAACGACATCAGTGTATTAGTCATTTCATCCATGTACTTACTCTAATCTGTTTGTGGTATGTTCCACATCAATCTGATAGAGGAGGTGTGTGACATTTGCTGCTCCAAGTCGTTGTCTATACAAATAGGGAAATGATAACTGCCATGCAGATCGGCAAAAGCTGACTATGTAAAATAGGCAAGTATATTTTTCTGTCGTGTCTAATAAAAAAAAGCATTGTAGTATAGTGGGAAATATAGGCAAAGAACCAATAAATTTGCAATATAAATCAAGCATATTCACACAGTCTTCCTTATTGGTAACTACAAATATTCCTTGGGTTTTGTGTTGTGTATACTGATGATTAACGATGTTCTTACTTCTTCAATGTCATTGGAATATTAATATGCCTACAAGTAATAATAAATTTAACAATAGTTATTTACATTATAAATGCGGTAGGTTACATTTTACAACGCGAAGATTTAATATTGAAACACGAGGCAAAGCCGAGTGTTTTAATAAATCTGAGCGTTGTAAAATGCCTACCGCATGTATAATGTATGCAACTTTTTGGCCGATGACTTAGTGGTGCTTGTTTTCGTCAATTTTTACATTTTTTTAAATTGCGTGGAATTTGTAAGTAGGCTTTCCCTGCGTCAAACGTCAGATAAAATTATAATCGTGACAGATAGTTCGATATGACTGCTGCTTATGCCAACAGATGGCGCTCTCCAAAATCAATTAAAAAAATCAATTGCTATTATTTTAAAACATTTAACAGATGCATTTATGCGGTATCTTATTTTGGTGAACACAAGCTTTGTTAATGATGAGATGTCAATTTTTTTAAGGGTTTTAAAACTCTGAAAATTTCTGTGTTTATTACCGCACTTAATTTGGTAAATGATAGTTCAATGTGTAAAAATCGAAATACCATGGCTATCTACGATACGTAAATATCAGTTTTACAGTTGTCGAGGCCAAAAAATATTGTTCCTTTGCTCTTACCAAAAAAGTTTCCACCTGTACCTACCCTTGGCTTTGAACTGTTTTTTTAACAGCCGTCAGAGTTTTTGTTTTTTCCAAAAATAACATAATTTACATACCTACTTACATCTATGTATACAATCGTATATTGACATGAATGGTAACAAATTTAGAACCGTAGCTTCATAAAGTTGTTGTGGTTCTGTTATTTCAAACCACTTTTACTCGTACTCAAACGTTGTGGTTTAAACAAATTTTGTTTTTTGTCGTAGAATTCAAAGATTATTGGATACAGTAATATTAGATTTTCTTAATTTACATCGAAGATTTAGTTCTTTCTCTTAATGATGTCGAGGAAAAAACAGTTTGGACGTTTTAAAAGAGAATGTCATTTTTCCTTTCCGGCTTTGTAGTACGATAATATCATGTAATATAGATACTTCCAATATGAAAAAGTTTGAGTTTTTTGCTTATAAAATTTGTCTCTCTGGAACTGTTTATTGGCCATGATTTTTTCGCTCTGCTTGTCATCGTTGATGATGCCTGCTAAACTAATCTATAATAAGACTATCTTCAAAAATACGTGCATATTATTACAAATTGTGATTACTTACTATTACAGGAGTGGACAGACCTATACAGTTTTTCTTAAGGTATAAGCAAGTAAAAATCGTGAAACGTGACTCAAAACTTTATTATATATTCACATAAAATAGAACAGTTTTGTATTGTGGCGTGAATAACAACACTCAAAAAGCAAAAACTAGTTTAACTATTCAAAAAAAGTAGACATTTGAGATGTCAAGTTTTAAAACGTTATTCATTCCGTTCTTGAGACCGAACTATATCTGTTATAATCTGACAGTTATTAGTACCAATCAAGTATATACATATTTAAAATAAGTTGAACATGGTAGTGTTAGGTTTGAAATAACGAATTCACACATCTCAATTCTACAATCCCCAATAATGGGATTGAGGCGAAATTAAACTATGAGACTTACATGAGAACTAAATAACAAAAAATTTCGGTTTGTAAATTCCTTTCGGGAACAAGTTTAGTTTGTATTTAAAAATCCGAATAGGACACAGCGGGTTTGTCGAATGTAATTGGTTTATAATAATTTATGTTTTGTCCCCACCCTCTTGGAGCCGTGTTATAATTTTGAAAAGCACCGAAGTTAACTCTTGGTGGTGGTTGCGGTGGGACGATCGGAGACTGAGTTAGAAGAGTATTTGATGCGTTGTACGATGGAGTATTAAATTCTGGCAAAGGAGTATTGGTTTCCTTTGGAACGTATACTTGAGGCGCTACATTGGGTTTGTAGCTTGGAGAAAGTGGCGGTTTTGGTTTCGATCTTGGAAGTGTGTTAGAGCCTAAAATAAGTTGAGTTGTTTGTAGATTCTACCATTTGCTATTACTACATTTTTAGGTTAATATACACATCGATGTTATTATACAATGAAGGGAAAATTAGACGCACTGACATTAAGGGAACACTAGCTGCTTGCCTTGTTGTCCGTTCTCGTTAATCTGCACTACATTCTCTTCTTGAAAAGCAGAAGATGACTGAAACTGGGAGCTTTGGGATGTATATTTGTAAAAGGAACTATTTTCGGATTGCGAAATATTCGTTGTTTGTTCTGAAGGAAAGTGTTTGTTTTCAACTATAGCATTCGAGATGTAGTATAAATTGTTGAATTCTTGCTCCGCTGATTGAAGTACCTGTTCTGTGTGTGCACTTTTCTTCTCCGAAAAATTTTGTTGCGAGGATGATCGTTCAACACACTTGTTGCTTAATCTTTCGACAACATTCGGCGATGGTTCTCGAATTTGTTTGTAACGTAGCACTGGCATTGCAGATTGTTCAAAATTTTTGATCAATGATTTTACAGGAATCGTTTGATAGTCCGTTTCATCAGATATAGTTTCACTTTGATTAAATTCCGTACTACGTTGCTCAGACTGCGTTATGTTACGATTTATTTGTTTTAGCTGGTTAATTTCATTATTTCTATTTTTATTAGAAACAACGCATTGCGATGTGTAGTACTGTATCGGACTATCGTGGGGATAAACACTTTCTTCTTGAACAGACTGGTAGTCTACATGGTATTCTTTTTCTTGCTGGTAGAAAATTTTCTCAATTTCTTCATTTTTACTTGGTCGAAGAGTTTCTACTTGCGCAGTTTCATTCTTTGTAAACTGCGTAGATAATTTAGAATTTTGTGAAACTTCCTGCTCTGTTACTTTTTCAGTTTTTTCAATTTTAATTTTCGGTTCTATTCCAAGAGTTTTATCAACTTGTTCGGTTACATCTCTGGATCTCTTTCCTTGTAGAGATTTTTGCCGTCCTGAAAAAGCTTTCTGAAACTCACTGTTTATATTAGTTTGTCCGAAAATGGGACGTGCACCTATAACAGCTTCCGGCGCCTTTTTATATTTTTGCAAATCTGGACTCTTTATGGCTTCATTAACGTCGCTGCTACCATTTTGTTCTGTAGCTTGCAGTATATGCTCTTGTGTTATCGCAGACTGGTTCTCGATAATCGACTTTTCTTGCTTTATTTCTTGTTGTTGCACAGCACTTTGTTCTGAAAATTCTGTAAATTGGCCCTCCCTAACTCTTTTCATATCATCAAGTATTTTATTAATTTCATTATCTTGCTTAATTAGAGGCGGTGGATTGTTCACTAAGCTCTTATCAGCTTCTGCGTAAGCATTTTGAATATTATGTAACTCTTCAAAACAAGTTTTTTGAGATTCAATGACTTGAGATTTTTCCTTGTTTGTTAGAATAGCCAATTTTCTGATCTGATTTTCGGACTTCTGACTCTTTTGCACAACTTCTTCTTCTTGAATTGGCAGTGGGAATTTTTGGCTTTTAGTTAGTTCGTTTTCAGTAAGTGGGGTTTCACTTCTAGATTTTGGTATGTAAACTGGAAAAGGCGAACAAGATCTACTCGCATTGAAATGTCCTTGACTTTCAAAAATTTCGGACTGAACAGTTCGAGAACTACTCGCAGAAGACAGAAAGCTTTGTTCTACAACTTTTTGTTTTGACTCTGGAAGCGCGTAAGCAAATTGTGGTTTTGCTGGTTGAATTGGACTTATAGGTAGTGATTCATTTAACGTATACTTTTTATTCATAGATACAGATTCATATTTCTTCAGAGTACTTTCCTTTGTAAAAGATTCTTGATTCGTAGCTAAGTATTTACTAATATCTGGTATGGATGGAAATGGTAATGATTCAGTTTGTTTGTCAGCTGGAGTACTTTGTACATTCTCAAAAACTTTTAATTTGTCATATTTCGTTTCTTCTATGCTAGTTGTCGAAATCTGAATTGGTTGGGGGCTAGTTCTCAGTTTTACCACGTCTTGCTCCACAATTTCTGGATTTATTGTCACATCTGCTATCTTAGGGAATGGAGAGATTGGACGGTCAGAGACTAATTCTTTTCTTTGAACTTTTTGGATGTCGCTTTCTAACACTTCAGATTCCAGTGTAACATCAGGTATTGCCGGAAATGGTGAAGCTGCCCTTTCGGAAATTTTTTCTTTTAATAATTGTTCTTCTTTGACTTTAGTATCTACTTTAGGTTGTAAAAAGGATGGGGTTACAGGGAGGGTAATTTTTGGTTCTACGGGAGTGTCTAATAAAATTTCAGGGTTAGTTGACACATCTGGTATTTCAGGGAAGGGCGATTTAGACCTTTCTTCTTTTGGAGCAGTTGGTTTAATGATGTTAGTTAGAGCAAGGTTGACGCTACCTGGAGTAAAGCATGAATAAGCATTAAGAAATCATTTGCAAAGCCTACATTAAGTAATAATAATAGCAATCACTTACTATATTGCTGCTGCTTTGTTGATGCGGAAGAATTCCAAGCCTGCGGAAATGACGGTTTGTATAAATCAACGCTGTTCACACCCTTTTGCAAATTATCGACAATCCTGTTGATGCTGCTACTGTTGTAAGCAGGATTGTGCGAAAAAACTTTCTCGTTTGATGTTGCTCCAGTCCAAGATTCTAAAGTATCATTTTTAAGAGCAGTTTCATATGAATCAACAACAGGGGCCACATAATTTCCTCGACTTGGCCATACTGGAGCTATATCTTGAAAAGCAGCTTCCACCGAACCCGTTTCTAAGGCTGCATCCCATGGTGATTTTACAAGTTTAACGCGAGGCCGTGTGAATTTTTCCTACATCATAAAAGTCGATTCAAATTTTCATACCTATTTTTTTTTTATTTACCTGAATCTCATCCAATTTCTCTTTGTGCTGTATCCTCTGCGCCGTTTCGGGTAAATAACTTGGTGGTGGTAGACTGCTTATCGGAGGTAAAGGTGACAATATAGGGGTCGGTGAGGGAGCTATATCAGGTATTGAAGATGGTTTCGTTCCATTAGATTCGCCAACAACCCATTTTTCTGAACGCTTACGTCGTTTTGCAAACAGTTCCGCACCTGTGCATTTAAATAAGCAAAGCTTTGCTAGAGCAAAAATTTACAAACTGTACCTTTTCCTTTCGGGGAATTTAAGTCTTTTACGATTTCGAGACAAACATCTGGGGAAAGGGCAGGTTCAATCGTATAACCTTGTCTTCGTAAAGAGTTGATATCTTGAACTTGACCGTGGGGGTTCATCACTAATTTTAACGGATCTTTGCTTTCGGAAGATTCGGAGATGTATTCAGAACTGTTTTCTGTTCTTAAACCTACAATAACAACGATGTGTAAGATTTAAAGTCAAAATGTATACGAATTTAGGCGAAAGGAAGGTAAGGTAAGGGAAATGTTTTTAATGTCCTCATTTGTTTCTTCTTCCTTTATTTCTGTTTTTATAACTTCACTTTTTTCCAAGAATCCTATTTGTTAAAAAATATAAATATACCCGTCACGGTCGTAGACAAAAAGTGCCCTTGACGGGATCGAATCGCCGACCTTTGCGTTACTAATACGAGGCTTGTCGAACTGCACTAAGTGACCATTTGAACTGCATTTCTCATAGACTGGTATAAATGTTTTTAAGGTGGATTCATAAACTAGGAGTATTTTAATTTATAAATTTTAAATAGCATTTGCTGTACAAAATTTTGCGGTGACGTCATCAAATTGTTGGTGGGGATGATCAGACGCATTTTGGTTAGCGTTTTATCGCCTACGATATTCTTAAATTCCATAAAAATTTCAGAAGGATCAGGTCTTAATTGAGAATTAATTAGTTACAAGTTGTTTTAATTGCTGATAATTTGATAAATGTAATTTATAGAAGGTAATTTTTTATTTCCAAATTTGTAATATTTTGATAACTACCGGAGAAAAATATTTTGTTGAATAACTTATAATAACAAGTTATAACGCAACGTTTAATATTAAATATATACTTAATTTAAGTATACGCACAAAACCAAACAAAACCATTTTTATCTTGCTGCATGCAGTGTGTTCACGTTATACACTTTTTTAATCTCAGTAAGTATTCTGACACCGATCCAAATATATTTTTTTTGTAGATATTTTGGAAATCGTTTGTATATTATCAAGGAGACAATAATGCCTGACAACATATTTGCATAATATTCCAAATTTACTAAATGAAAACGATTGCCTGTGTTATCGAGTATTGTTTTTTTAAATTACAAACTTCCACTCGGGGAGTGTCATATTCCCTAGAATATGAAAAAGTAGGTTTTCTTTTTCCATCTGGTTGCCTGCTGTCTGCTGGTGATTTTATTAGACAAGCAAATTCCCATTGTTGCGAAATTGTAGATTCTGATTTAGAATTTTGAGAAATTCGTGCGAATGGTAAAATACGAATTAAAATTTGTCTGTATTTTCAGCAAAAATTAGATTATCTTAAATTTTGCAAAATAAACCGTATCGAAAATGTGTAAAATAATATTAACTTTGTCTTTGGGCATTTAGCTTTTTAGAAAAAAAGTAAAATCGTACAAAAAATGTTTACATTTTATGTCTTAAATTTCTCATGAACAATTGCTAAAAACTTAATAACGCCATCCCAAATTTTGAGGAATAAATCTTATTTAATCAGAATATCATTTAATTTCTGCAAATACCCGTATTTTTTAGAAATTTTTATACCGGGTGCCTCAAAAAAAAAATTAATATAACAAATCATTTTACTGTTCAAATCAAACATCTCCTGTGAACACAAATACCTTTGTTGCTGATATTAAACTGTTCGTATATTGTGATTTTGAAATTAAAAAATTATGTACTTATTCAGATTTGATTAAATCGGTTTTTCTTAACTGTCCACTTGATACTTATTTTAAAACAAGATACAACACTGGAGGTCATCTTTTAGATCTCACAAAATTTGTAAGTTGTTAAGTCATGACCAAAATTTCAAAATTGTTAATAACTATAGAGCGGATTCTGCATTTTCATTTTGATTGTAAGCAAATACTTGAAAGTTGTTTATAAATGTGTATCTAAGAAAATCCTATTAATTGAGCCGTAGTTGTTTTTACCTGTTTGCCTATTTCATAAGTGCCTTTTTGGCATTTTTTTCGACCTATTTTACTTTTTTCTGTCTATTTAACTTTTTTCTGCCTATTTTGTCCTAAAATCTGAACTTAAATTTGGTCTGTGGCCCAATATTTGAAATAATAATGTTAATTCAAATATAATAATAATCAGACTTCGGCATCGCGGAAGTGATGGTCATTGCCGTCCGATCGCCAGTGCTATTCTAGTCGTGGCCTACAACTTCGGGAATTCTTAATAACAATTACTAATTTTTCTAGGTTTTGTTAAAATGCTTTAAAAATTAAAAATGACTGTTCAACATCACAATTTTCGTGATGATCTTGATCAAGTAAACCCTGAATGCAGCAAACGCCATTGAAGTTGAGGCTGCACAGCGGCCAGCCAAATTTATCGCCTGACGTCGCGCCCTCGTTTTTAATATTTGTCTGATTGATTCCCCATCACTTCGGCTGTGCCTAACGCTGACAGTAATACAGGTATAATATAGACAACGGAAACCAAATACGAAAAACTAAAACTGCTACTAACGGACGGCGTTGCATACATGGATAGATGTGGCAAACAGCTGAAAACATTTTATTCCAACTTAATTCATGTAACATGTTTGGCTCACGCCTTAAATTTAGTAGCTGAAGTTATCCGGAATCAATATGAAGATCAATGGTTTAATTTCCAACATAAAGAAATTATTTCTTAAAGCTCATTTGAGGATCCGAGTCTTCCCGAAAGACTTACCGGATTGTCCATTGCCTCCAGAACCTGTTCTGGTAAGATGGGGTTCATGGATTGATATGAGTTCGTTTATTGTTATTCATAATTTTGTTGTGTAATTCTAAATTAAATGAAACATTTTAGGTTATTATGGAATTTGACTCCACAGTGACGAAATGCATGGCTGATACTTAATACTTTTTCCAACAAAAGCATCTCAAACATAAAAATCTTACAAGTATAACTATATTAGACCATTGGATTGAACCTTAAGTCAGTCTGTGGATACAGTAGAGCAATTGTATAAACCATTGGAAGATACCCCGAGAAGAGTAGGTGAAATAGTATTTAAAAAGCTGCAAGATACTTTACGCAAAAAAATACCAGGTACCAAGAACTTAAACTTGCTAGCAAAGTAGTACAAGGCGAAAATGTAGAAAAAGATTTAAAAATCACTGAAATTTCTAATTTTAAATATTCTCCTTTGACATCGTGTGATGTTGAGAGATGCTTCTGTCGGTATACAAATTTTCTAACAAATAAAAGGAGAAATTTTTCTGCCGAAAATTTAGAAAAATATCTAATTTGCTATGCAAATTTTAAGGAAAATGTTTCTTAAAACTTGCCTATTTTGACACTTTTCGAGCCTAAACCCCCCGTTTTTACCACAAATTTTTGGGATTTTTTGGCCTAAAATCCGCTTTTTATTAATAACTTTGGAATAATACAAAGCCCTTGTCAAATTTTTAGCTCCTTTTTTGGAGTGCATGTTAAAAATTCTAAGTTTTTTCAAAAAAAAAAAATGCGTTTTATTTTGTTAATTTTGTTTAAATTTTTATATTTTAGTATAAAATAAAATTGAAGACAAGGTAGGTTATTAAATCACGTTAACTTCAATAACGTGATGAGTTTGTTGGAGAAGGTAAGTAGGTCAATCGTAGTTAAAGCCAGTCACCAGATTTAGCTCTTGTGGTGGTTTCAATGCATTTTTGTAAAGTAATCTCTCCATTATTAGTAGACTTATTGTTATGAAATTTTAAATACATATAACCTGTCTACTTTCTTTATAAAAATTAGTCAGTTTTTTTAATACCTAATTATTGTGATAATAATACACTTAATTCTCAATATAATCAGATAGTTTCAGAAAATATTTCTTCAATAAATCTACAGCAAACAACAGCCAACAGACAGAAAACCCAGAACAGAGGAAACCTACGAAACGTCAATAAATCATAAAACTGGACATTCGTCAAAATGAGCCAATTACATACGTACACCATTTAACTAATGTTGAGTAAACAGAAATATATTACTAACGTCATAACTTTAACCGCCTCAGCCAAAAGTTATTACATTACATTTACTTTTAAAATGTACCATGTGCAAAAAACTAGCCTGAACATTTTAGTCAAATCGTATTGTTGATTTTTTACCGAATTTGTTCCATATACTAGAAACTCTTCAATGTTTTATACCGTGTGAGACGTTCCCTAGTAACACTTTTATTTTTACTGGAACAAATATATCGTGTCCAAATCGCAAGGATGTTTTTCGTAGCGAGAACAATGCAATGTCTACAGTTGAAATTTTAATCCGCCACTTCCAAACAACATGTACAGACCGTCGACACCAAAAAAAAAAACAAGCAAACCCGGTCATATTTTTGTGACATTAAGATAAACATTCAGAAACGAAACATATCATAGACGATTTACAGGACTTCACATCAAACAAACTAACCTTCAAAGTGAAAAAAATCAAAATTGAAATAGCGACCAAGTGATGCGCTTCCAAAATTAGAATCGATCTGAAGCTTTGAATAATAATCGATGTCCGAAGCGACGCAATATTCCACAGTTTCCGTGTGGATCTAACGTTGTATAAACAGCTACACATTATCTGGAGATATTTTGGTACATAGACGGAGGCAGAGTTACGCAATAACCTGAGGGATATGGCAGAACGCCAGATTCGCTCATTTGTTTTTACTTCCGGACCATCATGATATCTATCCGTGTGCTGCAAGTTGCGAAAAATGAAAACTTGTCGACTTAAGAGCTAGTTTCTTTGAAAACGAACGAATTTTCATGAATGTAGACAAAAGGGATAGTAAAAACGATTATTTCGTAACAGTGCAATAAATAAGTGCCCTTGGAAATAGTAAAATATGACTTTTAATTCAGTTTTTGATATTTACATAATTAAATGCATGGCAGAACTCAATTTGATTTTTCCCGTGAATTTCTGAAACTTGGATTCGTTGTGAGTCTAATTCTTTATATATTTTGCTTTAGTAAAATAATTCATCAATAGGAACATAGACCTTAATAAGTCTATTCTATTTGACTGGAGTCATAGCTCATAGGTTTAGCATCCATTTGATTAGTTTTGCTGTCACGTAGTGTAGTCTTCGTTCCATTTTTAACAAAAGACTTCTGTTATTGCGCAATGGCTCTCCAAAATAGTTGTTATTTCATTACAATAATATTTTAATAAAATCTTCCTAATACCATATTGTCGGCACAACAACACATTTTCAAGAATTATTGCAGTTTTTAGAACACTTCCTATTTTTTGCTTATTTTTCGCGCCTTATAAAAAATATTATTTTTGGGAAAAGCTTGGCCACAAAATATTTATGGAATGTCGGAGAAACTACTTTAAAATTAGGTTATGAATTTTTCAACTCTATTTTGGAAGTAAACCAAAAATTGATAATACATATATTATGTCAAGAAAATATTCAAAATGGAAAGTTAAATTCCATAACATGTGAAGTAATGAAATATATGCAGTTACATACAGTTACAGTCCAAACAAGAAAGAGAGCTAAATTTTTTTAATCATTGTTTTCAAATTTTTTTCAAATATAGCCTAAAAGGACATTTAAATATTTTAGATAAAATTTTCATTTTAATAGTAGATAGTAGGGAAATAATGTAAATGAAACACTTAACTAAATACCTTCTGTTAATTTTGTCCAGTGGAATTTTTTGTTTGCTTTATAAAATACAAGTGCAATACGTAACTGAACCTTAAAGTTTTCACTTTAAAACTCCTTATTGTACCTGGTGAGTCACTAAGCACGCGGTGCAGAATATATCTCATTAATTTAGAGATACAACAAAAAATCAAATACCAAAATTGTAGGGTTCTTTAAGTACTATACTCTACATTTTTAAGGTGTAACACACAATTTCGTTTTCATTAAATGAACTACCCTATATATTTTTACATATTCTCATTAGCTCCTCCCTAGGCTTCATATTTACAGTATATTTTTTAAATTCTGATGTGACGTTGTCACGTAATTCCAGTTTTCTTCAATTTTTTTGGTAATGGAAGGGTTCGTGATTATTTTTAAAGTATGTCTGATTAATATTTTCTGGAAAGATAAATAAAATTTCGAACTTTATTGCGATAACAATTAAAAGAAATTTTAATATACAGAGTGTTTATAACAGTTTTTAAATATCGATATTTCAGATTTTTCAAATAGAACCCTGTGTTTTATTACTGCACCTCACTCTGTTTTTTATTTTCATTCTTTTAATATGTCGATGTGTCTCTTAACAAACTAAAAAATCGTAATAACTATATCAACTTTAAAAATATATAAAATACTTAACAAGAGAAAAAAAATATCAAGAAGCAGAAATAAATTATAGGTTGTTGTACTTGACAAGACTGAAATGTCGATATTTGAAAATTCTAATAATTAAAAAAATATATATATACAGGGTGTTATTGAAAGGTACGTACAACAAAATTGACAGTTCTTCGCGAAGTCTAAGAAGTCTGAAAAACTTATTTTGCGTTATCAAATTTATAAGGGGAAAATGAACTCTTATCCAATCTTTTTAGACGCTAGTGAAGGATAAATAGGTAGGTAAAATTAATGTATTTTAGTAAATCCTAGCAACTGTAAGAATAAAATTTTTGTCAAGGCTAAATGTGATAAATTTTTATCTCTAAAAGGACAACACTTTTACCTCAACTTTTTTTTTAACTTTTAGCACCCATACTTCGAGACCAATTGCCGATTTTATTTTGTACGTACGCTGTATATAAATACTCTATATGAAAATTTCATTTCATTTCAGTTATACCACAACAAAGCGCATACGTTTATTTATTTCTCCACAAAATATTGTAACGCAGATGTTAAAAATAACCCTACTGAAACTTTTTGTGAACCCTTCCACTGCTAAAAAATTTCAAGAAGACTGGAATAACGTGGCAACGTCGCATCGGTTTTTCAATAATAAACTGTAGTTGTAAAGCTCGAGAAGCGTTCAATCAAAATATATAAAAAGATATAGGATGTTTCATTTAAAAACGCTAAGTTGTATGTTACATCTGTATAATTAAAAATAATTTTAGAAGCTAGTTTCAAAGAACCATACAATTTTGGTCGTTGAATTTTCTTCTATTTCTAATAATTACTGAGATCTTGAGGAAAGCGCGTTTAGTGACTCACCCTGTAAATTGTCTTTTTTATCACAAATGTTCATAAAGATCGACGAAAGATGCAGTGGGGTTAGTTAATTGCTGGTCAACTTGCGGTAATTTTTGCCAGTTCGTCACAATAGGGACTGTAAACTCATTTGCCTGGGAAGACTTTCCTCTATTATAAGAGTAACCAATGAAAAGTATTTCAATAAGGCACGTGACCTACCTAATTGTCTGGGTAACCTAGCACTGCTTATATTTATTGAATTTTATGAGAAATCCGGTGTAAATTGCTTATAAAACCAAAGTCGTAAACGTACAATATCTTTCGTCAAACTTTACATTGTATATACTGGCTATAGAAAAAAAATTATACACACTCTAGAGACAAGGAAATCCCCGCTAGTACAACGCACATTACGAATTTTTAAATATTTGTTATTGAGGAGGAAATAATAATCAAATTATAGGCAGATGGTTTAAGTACATTATTAATAATGATTTTGGTTTAAATTAAGTTTGAAACTGATGACAGTGATAGTTCGAACATTTTAATTTACAGAATAAAATCAGAAAATTGGGATCCATTTTAAAGCGTAGTACTTGTAAATACCCGCGTAATTATGTTAGTTGAATCTGTTTTATTTTTATAATCGTAATACACAAATGTAAAAATAGACTAAATAACAGATGTTTGCTAAAAGCAAGTATTTATAGACATTATTTCTTCCTTGTCTTGTAAGTCTCTGCATTTTCACTTCATATTTCTGCAACTGATATCCAATACAGTACAGAAGCACACGTAAATTATGGAACGATCATTGGATCTTTTATCATACTTTGATCCAAAGAAAAATTTACATCGGACGTCAAATAAAGTACGCGAACATCTAGTTCTCGCTTGATGCCGTTTTAACCTCATCGTATGGCATTATGTATTCATGTATGACGGCATTGAAATCTTCCGACAAAATGCATTGCTCACAACGGAAATGAACAAGTGAAGAAACTTTGAAACTCCCGCGCGAAAAATGACGCCTTAAAAAGTCTCAAATTGGTTAAGATTCGCTGCGCCGGTCGACGCGCCATGTCCACATTTTCGCGAGCCGAGCTCATTCCTGCACCAACTGTGCTATGAGTTGATGATCTTGAAACGGCTGAAGTGATTATCAAATGTAGCTAAAAACCAACCAATTAAACCAACTTGTAAACATACAAAAAAAATTGAAAACTGTTCATCTGTTTGGAAGCTACGGTACCATAGACAAACGCACGTTATCACTGTAATTATTATTATTAAAACATATCTATTTTTTACATGTGTTTTTCTTTAGATGTCCTTTTAAATTTTTTTATTTCTTTAAATTATGTGCACAATAATAATTTTTTGAATTCACCTAATAAAATTCTGTAACTCTAAAAAATAAAAAGATTAAAAAATAATAAATCACAAACTCCCATAACATAACTTCCTTTCTTCTTAAAAAAATAACTTAAGATTTGTGAGCAAGATGCACAGACTGTTGAAATTTAATTCATCCGTAACAAATAAAATCCTCTTAAAAATATTTTTAGATCCACGTTTCTTTTTATTTGGCACTTACATCAAATCCATCGAGTGCACTTTAAAAATACTCCAATACTTAGCAAAATTTCATGCTAATTTAAAATGTGATTTGTAAAGAGATTTATAGGAAACGGTTGCTAGCGTTAAGAGATCACAGGGAATTAAGATAAACTGTAATTTATGGGTGGGATTATTACCATCTCCTTCGTGGACCCACTTGACTGATCTTTTCTTGCGGTTGACGTACATAGATTGCCCCTTGCTGCTTTGATTACTGATGTCACTTAGGGAGCTGGAAATCCTTTTAGCCAATTGTACTTGTTCTTCGACTGTAGGATGGACGCCTTTGGCGTAAAAGGCCGAAGATGCGTACATTTTTCCTGCAACAGAAGTCAATTACTTATGATGTGCTGTTCAAACTTGTAAAACATTTAGAAATTTAGAAGCATATGCTAAACGTGGATTAAAATAAAATGAAAATAGTACACCCTATTAATTATGTCCGAGTCGGAGTCGCAATGCAATTTGCTACTCTTACACGAATTATTAGTACGACTGGTAATAAACCACGTTCCAAATTTAAGTACAATAATACATCATTGCGACACTATGGTATTAAGTTTTCAGTAACAAATGAGAGTTTTAACATGCATAAATAATTTAAAATTTGCGGCCACATATTTTGCACCTACTTACTTTATAAATTCCCAGAGATTAATTTAAGTGTTATACACCACATTTAAAATTTTTTGCGAGGATTTTTCTGTTATTGTTTATATTATCTTAAAAATATATTTTCGAGGTATTTAGTAGACGGATTTTAAACTTAAGGTTTCAATGAACTCCTTCTGTAAATAACTTTATTTTAAAGTTCAGAAACAAACAATTCATTTGTAAAAAGTTAGGAAAATTTAACTACCACTCTTTCCTAGTAGCGAACTCTTAAATAAGGTTTAATTCAGGGGTCATGCTTTTTTATTTTACTTTAAATCATTAAATTTTCCAAATATTCACCTTTCAAGAAAAACCAGAGACTTAAGCGATTGATGAAAAGTAAGTTCATTAGTATTATAAAAAATGTCAGTTTTGTGTGTCTTAAATACCGTTGAGTGGAGTGGAAAAACAAAAATCTCGTACGTCATGTTTTTAATTATTGACCATAAAATTTATTTTTAAAATAATGATGTTGGCATTGCAGTTATTTGACAGTTTATTTGACAGTTATTTGGCTGTAACTGTCAAACCAAACAAGAAACTCGTGTTGCTAACATCATTATTTTAAAAATACATTTCATGGCCTACTAGAGGACTTTTTTGGATCATATGGTACCTTAAGTTCCAAATTTTCAAATGAATTTTGGTAAAATTTTGAACGGCATCTAGTTTAAAGTTCTAATAACAACTTCAACAAAAAAAAATAAAAGATCAAATTATATGTATATTTCGTTTTTTAAAAAGGTGACATTTCAATAATTCATTGAGAATCACTTTAATTTATAAGAATTTTACGATTTTGTCTAGTTGTAACTTATAGCTCCAAGTATCTTCGTTTGGGATTTGTGTAGCAGTAGTAACTTCTACAAACACATAAGACCACAGCAATTTAGATATAAAAAGTCTCGTATCGAATTTGTCACTGCTTTCAAAAAGGGATCACTGTAAAGGCATAAATTTTCATCTATTGATAAATTAATCTACTGCAGAAAAATTTAGGGTGTACAACAATATTTTTAAAGATAAAATAATAAGAATTCTTGTCAGGCCATATGTTCAGTAAAATATTTAGTATGTTTGAATAATCTTATATAATCGTAATTATTTCAATGACAAAATAAGCAACATTATAAAAAAATTAAGCAAAAAATAAATATATAGGAGGGAAATCACAAAATCCAAAATACGGGGTTGAATGTGACCATAGTCAGTTATCAACCTGTACTTAGATTTACTAGACATGTAAAAGTAAAAATATTACTTAAAAGCGCAATTTATTAAAAAAATTGGTCTCTGGTGGTTTGGAACTTTCCTCACCCCTGAAGGACACAAGTTTCTTCGAAAAAAAAAAAAAATAACATTTGATTTAGCGAAATTAAAATAAAATAAATTATTACATTAACTTTTGGAAATATTTTATATTTGTTTTACGATAATATTTGCACGTTAAAAATTGGTCGAAGGTTATTTCAACAGAACTTCTCTGGCATGTAAAGTACATTTCATCAACTCGCGCTGATGACTTCTATAAAAAAAATTAATATATTGGTAAACCACAAGTATAGATTCATTCATAAGGTTTTGCACATTTTAGAATTGATGTATTAAGCAAAATTTGACGATGACGTCATGAATGAGAGAAGAGAAAAGAGATAAATTTTGATTACGGATTTACCAAGCTTACGATAACCATAAACCATTCGTGAAATTTCAAATCATTCGGTTTTCCGGTCCAAAGTTAAATTGTAAAATGTTATACAATTTTGATTTTTTAAAAAAATAACACGGATTCATAAACCATAAGTGCAGGAATATCTTATGTTATAACTATTTACCAAGCTTTCGATGAACTGAAAAAGTTTTCAAGGTTTCAGAGCGTTTGATTCTACAATTTTAAAGTTAAATTGTAAAATGTTGTTATACATTTTTTTTTTTTTTCCAAAAACCTGAATGCCTAAAAGTAAAAAGTCAACACGGATCCATAAAGCATAAGTAAAATTTGGAGATGACGTCCTCCAATCGTTGGTGTGGATGATCAGACACATTTGGGTTAGCTGTTTATCATCTACACGATATCACTAAGTACACGTCAATTTGACAACAATTAGCCTGGTAGTGTCGAAGATTATCTCTCTAATAAAAATATAGATATAGACGACGAACGGCAGGTGGCAGACAGACACGCACATGGAAACGGGGGACCTATTTCTTCGTATTCTAGGGGTCATGAAACGTCGAGAAAACTTAAAACAAGTACTCATTCGTCTCACAGACCTTATTCTAGCTTACGCTCGGGAAGTATAAATATAGATAATACCAGTCACAATATAAGAAAAAATATGGCTCTTGTGGATTGAACTTTTAACTTCCATAACCCTTTTCCAACCCTGCTAAGCGACCATTTTCTTTTCTAAAATGCTAAGATGCAATTTGTATGTTTATTGCGAAAATTTGGTTGCCTGGGACAAAAAATTCAAGGCGAATTCATAAACCATAAGTACAGAAGTATGTAAATTTGAAAGTAGGGTCATCAAACTGTTGGTAGGGATGAATGAATAAATTTTGGTTAGCGTTTTACCATCTACACGATATTTTTACCATGCATCTAAAATTTGATCACAATCATCGGTCTGGCAGTTTCAGAGAGTGTCTGTCTAATAAATATTGACACATACGACAGACGCCAGACGCCAGACGATAGACGACAGATAGACGGACAGACGGAAATGGGTGACCTACTTTTTCGCACTCTAGCAGTCATGAAATTTCTAGAAAAAATTAAAGTGGCCGTTCGTGTTTTAGCATTTTTATAGAAATTTCGAACATGCACTTATTAAAAACATCTTACGTGAATTTAAATGCCGTTTTCTTAAAATCTCCGTCCTCTTATACTGGTTTGAGAAATTATAGTTTTAAAGTCAGTAGTTATCGCTCAACATTTTTATTTTAGAAAGTGGCAGAGTAGAAAAATCGGGAGAATGTAGTAACTGGATTTATTTGTTAAATAACTAATATCATGTTTTAGCCAAAGGAAAGGTCTTTCGCTTGTTAAAATATAATACTTAGTACAGCTAGGTTCACTAGCTATATAAACGAGTCAACAGAGTGTGTTTTCATAATATAATACATTCGAATCAAGGCAGTGGCGGAATTTGGTTGATTAAAGTATCATACATTAAGTAATTCTGAAAAATAAACTCTACGAGAATACTTATAAAAATACAATCATATTTTTACTTCCCGGGCGTAAGCTACTTTATTTAAATATCCCGTCACATAAATCTGGTGAGAAGAAACCGTGACAGGCATGTAGGTCACGGTTCTGGAAGCGAGAAAATATGATCTAAATTCTTTAGACCAAGTTTAACAAGTAATAACTAATAATATGACATATTTCTTTTCATTCGTTGAAATATTCCCTGCAGCAGACTTATATTTTCTTGTTAGACTATAATTTTGTTCACTGAAAGAAACCCGGAAGTATAGCTAAAACTTTCTATTACATACTTATATTTTTTCGTATGATTGCTAAACATTGTCTACTGTTCGTTTTCGTCGTTGCTACTTATTTTTCATACTTCTCTTGGGAACACGATCTAATTAAACTGTTTTATCTATTTTAACATATCAAATTTAAATTATTCACCACTTCTCTTATCTTATAAAAAATTGTTACATTATTTCATAACATTTTCTTAATACAAAGGAAGCTTTTGTTTTGCAAGCACAAATCCTTTCTAACACTATTTTTTCTTTTTTTTATTTATTTTAATTTAAACTACGATTAATTAGTTATTTATAATATCCTGTGAGATATGTAAAATACAAAGAAGTTCTTATAGGGTGAATAGAATTTAAACGCGTTTTTAATAAATTACGTAATTCGTACACTTAATGGTTTCTTAACCACATCGTCATAAACATAATATTTTTATTAAAAGTAGTTGCTATTTTTATTTTTTAAAACTGACAACTTAAATATCACAGTGGCGAATTAATAAATTTTGTAAGAAAGAATCAGTCTGCGCACCCACACATAAAGTTGCTTAACCAGCTAAAAATAACACCCTTTCCATTTTAAAATTGACACATATGTATTACAATTTTACAGACGTCTCTATACCTCCTTTGTATTGATTGTTATTTAATTAGGGAATGAACATTTTGCAACGAAATAATAATACAATTTCCTTGTTAACCAATCTACAAATAAACTTCACCAGAATCTTAATAATGTTATCGTAATTTGAACCCAAAAAAGTTTGATTTTTCAGTGGAAACTTTTTATTTTGTGCAGATTCTCTTTTTTTAAACTTAGTATTTTTTCTATTTTCTTTAGTATGAATCTTGATGGTGCTCCATGAAACTATTTCTTATTTATTATTCTTATATTCGCTACATTATTTCGCAATTTAAAATATAGCATAACATGTAAATGACATCATGCGAAAATTTAGATTTTCAAAGCAGAAGTGAACAGGTGTTTGCACGACATGTTTCACAATGACAACAACAGAAAACGCTTCAAAAAACACAGTGGCTTGTTCGTTATGTTAAAATTATTATTGTAAATTAATAAAAATACTTACTGTTTCTAGTCGGCAGTATCTGCTCTCCATCAGCTGGCGTGAAAATTTTTTCCAAATTGATGGGCTTTGGTGGAGGAGCATTTTCATCCTACGAACAATTACCAACCAAAAATGAGTACTTATATTTATTTTAACACGTCTCGAAAAAATTACTTCAAAACGAACATGTTTTTCCGACTTCCTTGTATAATAATTTCCGCTTATAGTGTACTTCATTTCGTCAACGTGTCTTCGCTTACTATCAAAAACGTAACAAATTTCACCCCCAAGAAACATTCGGAAGAAATACAAAAATAACTACCGCTAATCGACTATTGGCGTATATTCAAAATAACAAATGAGTTATTTCGGTAAAAATAAACAATTCAAAAATTCGAAAACGCGCTCGCAAGTTTGGAATGTTTCAGGAACGGACTGAATGAAACTGAAATGAAATCTGGAGTTATGAAACCGGGAGATCAGTGGTTTAAACGCAAACGCTGTCTAAAGCCAGACGCAGTTTTATGATTGTTTGAAGATGAGCCACTCACCAATCCAACCTTGAAAACTCTCTGGGTCAGATTTTGCAGAAATTCTCTCTTTTGTGGGTCTTTTCTGTCCGAGGGTTTGAACCCTCGTTCCGATTCCACCACACCCGAAGTGCTGTGCGATTTTTGTAAAAGAAAATTTGACTTTGGCCATGACGTGGGTTCCGATGACGGTATGAATCGAGCGGTGGCGCTTTTTGCCAGATTGTACGAAGTCTTTTTGGTCATCGAATACATGCTCTCACTTCGGGAGTCCACTATTTTGTTTAACAACCGCATGCTTACGGATTGTCCTGCTTTTCACAAATTAATTAAATTTTGGCAAAGGAATACTATAAAGTTAAATTATCATTTGCCAAACAATCGAGTCACAATTACTTTTTTAGCACCGATTCACACATGCAAATATTTAAAAATACAGCAGTTTGTGTATTTTTAAATACACATGTATAAATGAGGTAAAAATAATGCAAAACAAACTAAACTAATAAATAAGAAAATTTTCTTGCAAGAGCGCGAAAGAAAAATAAACGTCTGCAACTCTTAATTTGCACGACTGGTTTACGCGCATTGACACATTTACACACATGCAATATTGGGTTACGCACTTGTAAGTTAGAAAGTATATTTAGTATGTCCTAAATACTGCAAAATTTTTTCATTGATTCCTTTGCCAAAGCAACAGCCGTAACAGATATAATTTTTGAAGAATAGGATGCAGCAGGTGAAGTTGCACTTACACAACACAAGATATCAACACTTTAGTGTTTGGCGAACCAACTATCGATAAAAAAGCAACATCTTAAACTAAATTTCGAGTTGATAAGACGTTGTTATTGCAACTATTACAACAAAGTACACGTCTCGAAATAATCTGCCAGGAGAGAGAACGAATTTGGTAACTATCTGGATCACTTCCAAAAATATCTGTTGTGCTTATCAACGATCAACGTTATTTAATTTAAATACCTATTAGAAAAAGTGCGAGCCAAGTGACAGAAGTGTCTATTTGTCGTCAGTCATTCTGGATGTTGGCATCCATCAGTGGATCGTTTTTCATATTATCGTGAAGTTTTGTTGTTATAAAAAGTCACAAATGTTGCATCTATGTGCAGTGTAATTAAGTTAGAATTAAAAGAATTCGAAAATAACAATAATAACTAAATAAAACTGTTGATCACTTTAAAATAAAAGTATATTTTTGCGTTGTGTGTTTACTGGTTAATAAATCTTTTTAAAAATGTATTTTTCCAGATATATGCAACCAATATTACAAGTCTAGACAACACTATAGTTACGAATCTTAAATTTAGTAGTGCAACTCAGCGAATTTTTTGTATTCCTAATTCAGTTCATATTGTTAATAGATTATTATTTAGTTTGTAATATTGTAGGAGAAAGATTTGATGTAAATAATCACCTGAATGATTGAACACGTTTCTTACACTACCGTCAAGTATCAGAACTACAATTAAAAATATTGTGCATTGAATTGTATGATTTTAAAATCGAAAATTTGCGTTTTTAACTTTAAAACAATAAAGAAATAAAAAATAATACCCGAATGTACTGTGAACACTGAATGAGTTCTTAATTATGAGCTTGTTTGAAGTGTAGACATTATAAAAATTTACACTTTGCTTGATCTGTTACTATGCTTTCGTCTTTGAAAGTGATTTCTTTAGAACTTGGTGATGTTTTTACGCAAGTTACAGAAAAACACTATTCTAAGAATCATTGACCAGTCTAAGAAATTTTATTAAACTAGACTGACATCATGTGTTTCAATTTAATTTTTTTTTAATATGTTTATAACTAAAAGCATCTTGAAATTACCACTTTTTTAAATATAAATTAGAGATTTTAAAATTTCATACTACAAGAAATAATCTCAAAAGAAAGTTATTTTTTTGAAAAATCTATTATCACGTTGTTGTCCATGATCAATTAATCATAATTATGAAAAATTAAGCACTAATTATAATATATGAGTTGTTTTTAAAACTGGAATCCTCTGTAACTTGAATCGAAGCAACCAATACTGCCGCTAACCATAAAAAAAAATTATTCTAATTGCGATCTTGAAGTAGAAAAATATGCGAAAATTTTTCATACTGGTGAGTTCTCTTCAAACTACCGATAGTTTAGAACCAATTAGAACTCTTCCAGCTCTAAACTCGATATTCTCAGTAATTTTTTAAGAGTTGGAAAAACAAGTATGTGTAATCTTCATCAGTAGTACCTACTGCTTTATGTCACTGGCACTTTGGAACAAAGTTCGTGACGATTTTGTTTTCATTAATTTTATATCTAAAGGTATTGTTATGAAAGAAGCTTCTTTAAATAATTATTTGTTAAGTTTATTAACAGGGGTTCTGTTTTAAACATTTTCCTTTCTGATCAAGTTAATGAACTGTGACAAAAATTGGTCTAAAATTATTTAGACAAAACAAAGCCAGTCTCTTGCTTATATTTCAAGTGAGTTATTATTTACAAAATTTTGTAATCTTAGTCTTTTGGTAGGGAAAAATATATAAATTTGGCAAGCATTTTAATACAAATAAAATGGGTACCGTGTTTTCATAGTCTAAGGAAAATGGAGTAAATCGTTTTTAACTTAATCAAGAACTAAATTGCTCCATTCATAATTTTTTTGAGACATCCTGTATAAACAGTTTGAAACAACATGAGTGCAGTGCTAAACCATAAGTATAGGTGCATAATATTCTACACATTTTAAGTAGGGCTTATCTGTCAAAATTTTGAGATCAGTTTTTTGGAGAAAAAAAAAAACAGAAATTTTAATTGGCGATTTACCACAATAGTGTGGAAGCAGATTTTATAGTTTTTAAGTTAAATTGCAAAATATTGGTGAGGATATTATTCCTTTACGAAGGAGTGGACCCCAGGACAAATAAAAAGCGTTTTTAAGTCAACGTTTCGTTCCTCTATTAGAGCTTCCTCGAGGACTTCATGTTACGCTATACATCCAGGTAACGTAACACCGCTTAATGTTCGTTTATGTATTATTAACTGGTTGGGTAGTGTAACATTAACTCCCTGAAGAATCTTATTTTTCTGCATGTGAAAATGTAGTTTGGTGAAGGGGTTGCATAACAATAAATTGAGAAAATTAATAACAAACAAAATAAACTTGATTTTTTGATAAATATTCTTGTTTATTTAACAGAACAATACGTTTTAGCAAAAATTTATGCTATAGAAATTGTTCAAACTGTTCCCCATTCCATTATCTGACACAAACCCTGGCCGATGATGGACATGACTGGGGAAATTTTCAATACTCTGGGGACGTATACGAGTCATTTAATGAGAAATTCCTGGTTTCAAATCGTCTAAATTATCGGGTCTGTTTATGTAAATACGACTTTTTAAATGTCCCCATAAAAAAAATCAAGAGGTGTCAGATCCGGAGCCTTAGGTGGCCATTCTATTGGTCCACGCATTTCAATCCACGTTCCATAAAATTTATTGTCCAAAAAAACCCTTATATTTACGCCATAATGTGCTGGTGCTCCATCCTGTTGGAACCAAATCCTGTGATCTAAATTTTGTGGATTATCTGGATCAGGGAACGTAGCAATTAGATCCAGAAATACTGCAGTTCTAAGATGTTCTAAATATTGACTTACTGCTAAAATTTTTGTGAAAAAAGTAGGCGCCAATGAGTCTTCTGTTTATGATTCCGACCCAAACTGTCGTTACAACCAAAAAGTATTCTTTATTTTATTAAACCAACTTAAAAAACTGTAAAAGCGATTCTCTTTGACAGATTTTTGTTTTAATTTTTAGTTATTTGGATTTAATTTTATTTCGTGTTCCTATCATGTTTCGTTTGTTATTAATTTCCTTCTTTTTTTTGTTATGCAACCCCTTCATGAAGCTACATTTTCATATGTAGAAAAATAAGATTTATCAAATCATCCCATCAAAATTATAATGTCTCATTTTAAAAGATCATTGATGACGTCATAACTTTTACAAATTTTATGTACATTTTTTTTACATATGCCAAAAGTAAATAAGAGAGTAAAATGAAAGGCTTCACATGTTTTTGTACTTTTTTTCGAAAGTAAATGCTGGGCTTTTTATGAATTTTGTGCATTACTTTATCATAACCCTGTATAAAAAGTGTTGAGTTAATTAAAAAATAAACGTAAAAGTAGAGTCGGCCGAGGGACTCGATTACAATACTTCCTACGTTCGCTTACGCTCGGGTAGTCAAAAAGTTAGGTATATCGCGATTAACATTTGTCTGATTTTATTGTGTCGTTTAGAAACAGCATGTCAAGGGAAGATAAAAAATACACTGCACTACAGCGTGAATGGGCAACTATTTGGACAGAAAGATCTTATTGGTTTTCGAAAAAACAAAACTCGGAATATTTTAAATAGTTGTTTTTAAACACTTTTTACTTTTGAACCAAATAATAAAGACGAACAATATTAAATTTGTTAAATCATTAAATTTGTATACATCCTTTTTATAACACTATAACCTATAACTATCTAGCTTACATTTATTTTTTGTTTGCAAGTTATAGCATTTGTGACTATAGTCCCTTGAAAGCCTGTAAGCAATCACTAAGTCACTTTATCAGTGTGGTAAGTGATTGATGCGGTAATAAAAATTTTAAACTAAAATTGCTGCCTCAGGTGAGTTTATTCATCTAAAAATAAACCGTTCAGAATGACTAGCTAGCAGGGTTTTAATTTATTTTAGTTTATATGTTAACTTTTAGGGTCTAAAAAAAACTGTCAAGCATTTTTTTTCTGATTATTTATGGTCAGAAAAAACGTTTTCAATGCTGTTATGTTTGTGTTAAATATAAATGCTGTTTGTTTTTCATTTCTTTGTCCAGCGATAATGTAAATTACCGGAAAGTCGTTTTAATTAAGTAAATATTTTCTAGGTGCTGCCAGTGTAAATTTAGCCTTTTAATTACCTTACAACAAAAACAATGAACGTATAATATATGTACAACTAATATTCGCAAGGATATAAATAAAAAAGTCCAAATACTTTTACATAAGAACAACACAGTGCCACCATTCTAGTTTAGGACACAGATGCAATAAATTTAATAAAGATATTTTAAAAATAAAGTAGATCAAAATGCGTTCATAGTTACAATTTTTTCGATTTATCTTGAGTCTTCAACGCAGTTAATATATAATTTGTTGAAAAAAAAAAATCATTAGGTATTATAGAACAGTTAGATAACATTTCAGGCAACTAGCAGGTAGATACAACAATTTCGCAAAGAGTAAATTTGATGTCGATAGAGGTACTCCACAAGGAAGCTTTTCAAGGCCACTCATATTTCTGATGTATATTAACCACATAACGACTTGCCTATGTACTTAAAAAATCTTGGAATTGACTAATTATACAACAAGATTACCGCTGCTCAGATTCTATCAAAACACAAAATTCCACCAAATTTTTGGGTATCTACATTGACAGCAACAGAAAATTTAAAGCCTAGGTGGATTATTTATGTGATAACATTAAGAAGTGTTGTCATGTTATTTCCATATTGCAAAATTAGCTTAATAGATCGACCGAAACCATTCTTGCCATTTTTCTTTCACAGCTTGTCTCTGAAACACTGAAAGTACAGAGGCAAACTGATAATATATACACTTTTGATCAAATTTATTTTTGCATTCTCGCTAAGAAGTGAAAACTATTTGGTTTTTCTACCCTTCTGTGTAACCTGATACTTTCATATTTACTTAATAGGGAACAAATAGTCGTTTATCGTCAAAATAGATCCTTACGATATACTGTAACTGGAATACTACAAAAGTACAATCTTCGTCCATTACTGTTTTTGCTCTTCTTAAACAATCAAATAAATCAACCAATTTGTAACAAAGTGTTGTTGTTGTTGTTCTTGTATCATAATTTAGATAAAATTTACAGTTGCTACTGTAAAAATCACCTACATCTAATATCAGAAAAATGTCTAATCATTAGAGAGCGGATTTCTGTCGGGCTAGACAAGGCCAAACTCGGTACGGCTCGTACGGGATGGGAATTTATTGCAGTTACCGGCTGCACTTCGTTTATTTGAGATTAGAATAACGCTGCTTCGTTGCACTCTGCTGTTAATTCCAGTTCTCATTTACTTAGCCGTTTGATTAATAAATCGTTAATTGTATTTATGGAATCAAGTGACAATTAAATTCAGTGATTACCTATCACCCGCTACTGAGTCCCGGCGATGCAGCGCGTCCCCACCTATATCGTGACGTAGCCCGACAGAAATCCGCTGTCTACTAATCATACCATATTATTTAGTAATAAGTCAAAATTCTAAGTTGTAGTAATATACTTTACAGAGCTATTAAACAAGAACCAAATCTTTTTTTACATAAACATAATTTAAAAAAAAATCACCTAAATGTACTGGATGTTATTTGTACAATTAATTACCTAAATATTTCAGTTGAAATTTTATTTAAAAAATAAATAAGATATTTCCTACTAGATAAAAATTTTGATACCATTTAGGACTATATAACTTTGCTATCTACAAAAATCTAGAAATATAGAAATATTCCAATGTATATTGCGTAATTTATGCTTTATTTATCGTATTATTATGTTGCATCGAAATCTATTATTACCAAACTTTTTTGTTTGTCTTCAATGTTTGACATGTCTGTACTATTTCGAGGTATTACATATTTCAAATTTGACTCGCCGGATTATGTATAAAATCATACATGTAATGGTTCCAATAAACATTTAAGGATTAAGATTTAACAATCTTTGGGTAAAAGACGGTTGGTAGTTATAAATACGAAGATTTTTTTTTTTAATTTTATGTAGAATTATTTTAGTGAAAAGAAAGTTATAGACAAGAAAGCGATTGCAATAAACCATTTCTCAAGACAAAGTCAGTTCCTGACGTGACATTAACATTTTATTATATGTGTAGGTACGTACATTAAAAAAAAATACGTTTTCAACATTGAATTGAAATTAAGTATGTATAATGGCTAACATTTACACCTATTTTAAAAAAACTCAGACTTACCTGAAAACGTTGTCCACCACTGAGCTCTTGCGTAATCTGAAAGTAGTTCAAATTTATGAGGATGAAATTGACACTAACCGAAAAAACTAAGGGAACTAAGCTTGCGAAATGTATTAAGAAGAAATTAATAGATGTGTAAAGAATTATACCTTTGAAAAGTCGACGTAACTGAAAGGGTTTTCAGGGGGCAAAGACAGGGGACGTTCTTTGGACAACACTGAAGGTAAATGGGCAATCCAATTGTCTTTGTTGGATCGCTTTCCCTTCTACAACATTTACATGCAAACGACCGAGATGCAGCTTTAATGTGTTACGTGTAAAAGATTGACACTTGTAAAAACACAATAACAAGTTAAACAAATAAGTACAAACAATGAAATCATCAGCTACCCCAAAATGAAAATATTGGCATACGTTAAAGTAATAGTGCATCACTTTAAGAACTGTGATTATTAGTAAGTATTACGTTTATTTGGTTTTCGAGTTCTTTCGTTTTTTAATCTATTTTATTTTATTTTGGGGCACAAATTAGGTAATGGTGGTGATATTATTAATAGGACATTCAAATGTTTGGAACGTAAAATTAGAACAATAAAAGGTAACCATTTGCAAATCATAAACGAAAAAAATATAATAAAGCTCTTTTAACATTTGAATGGCTGTAGCATTAAAAAAATATTAGGATAAAAAACAATAACACAAATAGAGGTTACTAGTGAATATATTAAATTTCTATGTTTGTTAAAAAATATGTATATAGATTGCAGAAAATATTTAAATAATTAAATACAATTTTTATTTTCCTAAAATTTAAGAAAAATCAAATAAATCATAATGTTTTCCTAATTATTTTAACCATGAAAACGATTGCATTGTTATTAGCTCGTGCTTTTAATATTAATCTCCATTTTGCAGTATTATCTCAATTAAATATTTATCATTTACTATAAAAAAATTGTTTTAGGCATTAGCAGCGTTGATTTGACTTTACTCCAAAAATTATGCCTTAAATTCGCAGAATAATACAATTCGAAATCTTTTTCATATGTACACAAAAAATTATAAGAGTGCACCAGTTTTAAAGTTTTTTTTTCAAATAAAACACTACTATTTACTACAGTTTCGGTCCTCGATACTTTAAAATATTTATTTACATGCACTGGGATAGATTTAAATATATGCTTTTATAAACATTGGCTAAACTTAATTTTCCTAATAATAAATTAAATGTGTTATTGTTTCTTACATAAAAAAAACATTTATCTCTATAAATGTTAACATAAGTATACAGCAACAAACCTCTTTAACATGAGATTGTGATTCCAATGCTTTTTCATACGAATAAGTTGTGCTGTTTCCATCTGCTTTCTTTTCCTCATAAAAAGATTCTTTCAATTCTCTATCTTTTTCCGCGTAGTTGTCTAAATCAGAAATAATTTCTTTGAGAGAATTTTTAATTCTTTCTTCTTTTATCTCTGCTTTGGGCGATGAGTCATTAAAGCTTTTACCTAGACCGTTTACAGCGCCAGAGATTTCGAAGGGTTCTAATGGAGGAAGAGGTTCGAAGGGTTTTAATGGTTCTAAAGCTTCAACCGGTATGTAATCGGGAGGAAACCCATTATTAACAAGTTTTTCTTCTTCAACTATTACTTCTTCTTTAACGGTGCTTTCTTCTGTGTTATTAGTAGATGTCGTGCTTTCTGTTGGGGCTATATTCTCACTTTGTTGTGTTTGTTCAACTATCTTTTCTGCTTGTCTTGTCAATTCAAAAGATTTGGGGGGTTCAAACGGCTTCAAAGGTTCAAACGGTTTCAGGGGTTCAAAAGGTTTCACAGGTTCAAAAGATTTGATGGGTTCTAGAGGTTTATAATAGTTACTTATTGTCGAGGTTTCTGACGCTGATGTTTCCACTTTTTCGTCTGACTGAGATACCGATGAGAAAGAGGCTTCCGTGTCCTACGATGAAGTATGGATAACTGTTAAGTAACTTAATCGTCTATAATTTTATGCCTTTTGCTACAACTTTACGTGTGGGTGAAAGGTTTAACTGAAGCTTCAAAACGTTATGTTTCTGTTTAAGTGTAGTGATGAGAAGCTATATAGAACTGAGCGCCTAAAAGCTCGTGACAATAACATTTTGAAGCTCAGTGCCTGGAAATAAACGAACAGACAAGTTTAAAATCAGTTTATTGTAAAACTTCATACATTAAGAAGGACATTGATGGCAAAAACAATCCTAGTGATACTGCCAAAAAAGCGTCAGTTCTATATAACTTTCAGTTACCTACGCAAAAATATCTAATTTAGTGTCTTTTCCTCTGGTATCACATGGTTGCTACATGCTATAGAGTGTGTTGTAGTTATAAATGCCTCAAAAATCAAAATTTTATAAAAAATAGTTTCAACTGAAGTTGATCAAAAATTTTCATTTAGTGTTTTAGAATGTTATATAGATTAAATTATTAGGGCTAATGTATTCATTTAAAAGATATGTCAGTAAAATTACCCACTCATAGGTAACATTTGAAAGCACGGGGTAATTTCATTTACGATTAAGTTAACCTTCAATTACATATTCTTCCGTTTCTTCTGATGAAAAACTTTGCGAAGAAGAGAATGCAGAAGTGGTTACCTTGCGACTTTCAGAAACTGATTGTGAGACGGATTGAGACTGAACGACGCTGCAACTACTTTGAATGTTTTTCGAGGCACTTTCTTCTACAATTGAAGTGTTGGAAGTAGCTTGAAATTCTGCCGATTTCTCTGAGATTTTAGTGTGGCCAAGATCTTTCGACACCTAAAATAGAAATTACGAAATAAGTTCCAGACCATAAAGTTGTTGATGAATTGATTATTCCTCTGGAGTTATAGGCGTCTTAAAGAAGTGCACACATAATCAGAGCGGCATAAAATCGCCTAGCATCTGGCACCTGTAAATCACAGCCTCAACAGCTTAAATAGCAATGAATCTTAAATACACAAGCGGCACCATGCATTTTGCGGTTGACACATTAACGCACCTTTTAATTGGCTTTTACTACCTGTGCCAAAACAAGTGCCGCCTGCATTAATAAGGTGTTAGTCCAGGAAGTAGCGTGAAATTGAGCAAATCATTGCTAAATTGTAGATTTGTAGCGACCTACCTCAGAGAGTGTTGTTTCCTCGCTAGTTTCTTGTTCTACTTGTCTGCTGCCAGAACCGACAAGCGAAACCTGTGTGTCAGACATTTTGTGGGATGTTAAGTTGCGTTCTTGGGTTCTAGTGCCTCTCGCGGCGTCGGGATTTCTGCAATTGAAAAAAATCGCAAGTTGATTTAATGTAAAAACATTTCTAATGAGAGCGTTGACTTCAAAAGCTGCAGGAAATAATTTTGAGGTTTAATCCTAATTACACTGCTAAGAATAGTTTTTTCGGACATTTTAACCAAACGAAAAAACACTTACGATGTATCTACAACTGTCTATCTGGCAACTTTCCAGACTGGATCTTGCTCCGCCCGTAAATAAAACTGGGTAGTGGCTTTGCTCTGTCCATGGCAGATTTGTATTGCCAAAGTTAAAAACATTTTATAGATAACTCGTAAAATAAATTTTCTGGCCATTTATCTGATTACTTTAAGCTTTTAACTACTGGCAGAATAGCTTGACGTTGCGTCGTTTTCTAGAAAGGCAGTCTAAACTTTATAAATTTGCAATTGAAACGATAAATATCGCAAATAAAATAAATAACAAAAAACTTTCCGTCAATCTATTACAGACAACGAGCAACTTTGGAAATCTCCCAAAATTCAGGGGTGGGTTTAGACAAATTGTTGTTTGCCGAAAATTTACTGGATGAAGATTTCTGCCTACTCATAATATTTTTGAGTAGCGAACCGCAATGTATAAATAAATATTTTTAGTATATATATTTTTAGACAAATATGCCGTAAGGGATGTTTTTTATTAAATATTTGCAAACTTTTTTTATACTTATAACAGTAGGTTACTTAAGGGGAAATATGCATTTTCTGTACCAATACCACTTATTTCATCTGGGGTTTTGTTACGAAAAGTAAGTCAAGTTCTTTAATTTTCGTATTGGATAGTTTATGTTACACTGAAATCTGGCGATTAATATAATAACAGAAACTCTTTGGAAAATGTCAATGAATTTAAAACATTTAAGTTTATAATATCCTTGTAATTATGCCGAATCAACTCTGTTTATTCAAATTTGTACCATTAGGGTGATTCTATGTTCTTTTTATGGATATTTTGTATTTTGTTTTAAAATTATTATTACTAAACTATAATTAATAATACAAAATTAAATTGTTTTATAAACAAGGGAAACAGTTGTTTACAGTATTATAAATAATAAAAAACATATCAAGACCAGAACAATATAGGGATGTTTCCCTTATTAATATTAAATACTTGACAGCTCTACCACAATATAAAATATCTATATTTATATTTTTCCAAAGTTTTTCCAAAAAATTTCGTACTGTTGTTGGCATCTGAAATCCTGATGGAACGAAAATCCATTATCATAACGTTTGCTAGAAATTACTACTAATGTGGTGATTATTACGGTAAAATAATTTCGGCCAATTTTAAATTAGTTTGAGTAACTTTTTTTCGGTTTACAAAGTAGAATTTAAATATTAGTTATTTGTGATATTATAGCGATAGGGCCTGTTTATAGTGGGTGAATTAAATTAGTTCGAAATAAGATTTAATGTTCCATTAACCCATGAATTCATTCGATTGGTTGAATTTCATCACGTAATGAATTCACTGCGCGATTACATTAATAGCGTAATTAAGTGGTTCCATAAACCGGGTCTATATACTGTTAAATTTGTTTATGCAAAAAATAAACGAAAGTAATAATAAGTTTTAAGTCATTTTAGTGGCAAAAGTTAAGATTTTTTGGAACTTTACTTCCCCCCTATAATATATACTTTCTAAACAACGCTCAAAATGTTTAGATATTCATTTTTTATAGCCATAAAATTTTACTTTCACACACAAAACTAATAGAGCTTAGCAGATACTAGAAAACACAAATTAATAACAGATAACATAACACATGAGAACTATAATTACAAAAAAAAAATTGGTCTAAAGAGTTTAGACAGTACTTCCCTCGCTGTCGGAAACTTGACGACTGCATGCCTATTGTGTTTTTTTTCTCATTACATTTTTGTAGTGGGAATTTAAAAAAAAAATGCGATGACGTCATCAACATTTTTGCAAGGACACGTATATCAGTTGGGATAGATGTAGTGTAATACTAAGAATAAAATTATTATATTCTCAAATTTTCGGGAAAATGAATTGGGTCGTTTGAATATTGATTTGTAATAATCAATAAAATAACGAAACAATTTACTCACGTATACCTACGTATCAGAGGCAACTGAAAATCGTGTATGTATAAACATTCTTAATTTAAGATGACAGGCGTAACAGCATACGTGAGAGCCAAACAGAGAAACTGTAAACAAAACGACCGTCGGTTTTATTGCTTCGACTTCCGCTTATTATATAAAACATTGGGTTTTATTTTAATTCTTGACGGTGAAATTCACAATTGGTTGATTATAAACATGTCTATTTCACATTCGCGGAATCAAGTGAACGCATAAAACAAATGCAGGTCTGTAATGTTAAAGTCGATGTAAATAAGCGTGCTACCCTTATGTTTCAACCGAGTTTTTCCTTTAACAAATTTTGTGTCTACCAAATTGGGTTGGTTGGGGTGTAATACTAATAATAAGTGTTGCCTTTAATTTAATCAATAAAATAAATTGACTTCATTAATTTTTTTGAACCACCTCTTAAGAAAATCTAAAAAATATGAATGGAATGATAAATCACAAGTACAAACTCATCATATTTTTTGCATTTTAGATAGGATATATTCAGCAAAATTTAAGGGTGACGTCATCAATTTTTTTCGGAGGGATGAACAAATACATTTTGAACAAAAGTTTACCATGCTTATAATAACTTTAATATATTCCCAAGATTTCAAAGCATTCGGTTTTGTAATTCCTGATTAAATCGATAAAATAAATTCACGCCTTCATTAATTTTTTTGAGTCACCCTGCATATGCAAATCCAAAAATATGAATGGAATGATAAATCACAAGTACAGACTCATCATATTTTGTACATTTTAGATACGATTTATTCGGCAAACTTTTGAGCTGACGTCATCAGTTTTTTGTAGAAGATAACCAAATATATTTTGACTAAAAATTTATTATGCTCTTTATAACCTTAAAACATCTGCAAGATTTCAAAGCATTCGGTTTTGTAGTTCCTGATTAAATCAATAAAATAAATTTACGCATTCATTAATTTTTTTGAGTCACCCTGTATATGCAAATCGAAAAAATTTGAATGGGATGATAAATCACAAGAAGAGACTCACCATATTTTGTACATTTTAGATAGGATTTTTTCAGCTAAATTTTGTGGTGACATCATAAATTTTTTAGGGGGGACGACCAAATACGTTTTGATCAAAAATTTACCATGCTTATGATAATTTTAAAATGTCTTCAAGATTTCGAAGCATTCGGTTTTGTAGTTCCTGAGTAAATCAGTAAAATAAATTTACGCTTTCATTTATTTTCTTGAATCACCCTGTATATGCAAATCCAAAAAATATGAATGGAGTGATAGATCACAAGTACAGACTGATCATATTTTGTACATTTTAGATATGATTTATTCGGCAAATTTTTGGAGCTGACGTCATCAAGTTTTTGGAGGGGATAAGCAAATATATTTTGACTAAACATTTATTATGCTCTTTATAACCTTAAAACATCTGCAAGATGTCAGAGCATTCCGTTTTGTAGTTCCTGATTAAATCAATAAAATATATTTACGCATTCATTAATTTTTTTGAGTCACTCTGTATATGCAAATCCAAAAAATATGAATGGAGTGATAAATGACAAGTACAGGCTCATCATATTTTGTACATTTTAGATATGATTTATTCGGCAAACTTTCGAGCTGACGTCATCAAGTTTTTGGAGGGGATAAGCAAATATATTTTGACTAAACATTTATTATGCTCTTTATGACCTTAAAACATCTGCAAGATTTCAGAGCATTCGGTTTTGTAGTTCCTGATTAAATCAATAAAATATATTTACGCATTTATTAATTTTTTTGAGTCACCCTGTATATGCAAATCCAAAAAATATGAATGGAGTGATAGATCACAAGTACAGACTCATCATATTTTGTACATTTTAGATATGATTTATTCACAAACTTTTGAGCTGACGTCATCAAGTTTTTGGAGGGGATAAGCAAATATTTTTTGACTAAAGATTTATGATGCTCTTTATAGCCTTAAAACATCTGCAACATTTCAAAGCATTCTGGTTAGCAGATTAAAAATTAAATTTCAAAATGTTGTTTTATAATTTTGATTTTTTTTCCAAAAATCTGGACGTTTCGGGTAAAAACTGAATTCGGAGTCGTAAACTACATGTGTAGGACTATGTTATTTTATACAATTTAAGACCTATTTACTATGTACAATTTTGAAGTGACGTCATCGCATTAGTGGTGGGGATGATTAAACAAATTGTGGTTAGCGTTTTACCATCTACATGATATTCTTAATATAAGTACAAAATTTCACAACAATCGGTCGAGTACTTTCGGAGATTATCTGTCTAATAAAAATCCGGGACAACAGACGGACAGACGGACAGACGGACGGACAGACAGACGGAAATGGGAGACCTATTTCTTCGTCTTCTAGGGGTCATGAAAGATCGAGAAATCGTAAAAGTAGAGAGTCGGCCGACGGACTCGATTACAATACTTCCTTTGCTTACGCTCAGGAAGTAAAAATATTAAAGAGGACTAGATTTAAAATACTATATTTTTATTATTCTCATTCTGGAACAAATTTTTTCTACCTATTTGTAGCAGTTTTACCAAAGTATATTTCGCACTTGAAATCGTGGTTTTCTGAAAATCTGTGATTTTTCATTGTTTCATCAACTAATACACCATTTTTCTGTTATCAAGGTTATTTATGTTTATTGGGTAGCCAAGAGAGAATATTTATTTACAAAGTATTTAGTACTTTGGTCAAACAAATTATAATATCTATTAATTTATTTTCTTCTTCATGGCAAAATAACAAAACATTCTTTGGCTGAACAACTGAACACACAAATATATTAATTATTTACTACACCAAACTAAAAGTAGTTTTTCAAACACTAAGTTTATACCCGTTTAAAGGTGCTAAAGTCTTAAATTAACCCAGTAAAGTTGTTCGTTATATTGTAAAGGTTTGCCTATGGTTAATTAACAGGCTTTTAAATAAAAATATTAAATATTTCTTGTATCCAGTCAATTTGAGGTGTGGAGGAAAAAATAGCTTGGTTTTTGGCAACAAAAGTGCTTTTTGTGGGTCGTCTGTGGACTTACTATTTCTTCCGTTAAATTCTACATTTCGATCACAGAATGTGAGAATTTTACTTGTAATAAAATAATAAGCTGTTATTTGCCCGTATCATATCAGGTCAGGTTAGCAACTCGTTGAAATACTAACCAATTAAACAAAAACTCACTGAAATGTATTATTTAGTTTCTAACATTTTTGGCTACATCTTTTATAAAATTGTATTTATATAAATACTCTAATTAATTTATTTAATTTTTAAGAATGATAAGAGGGTTATTGGACTAAATTCTAAACGTTTCGTTATAATCTGCAGTGTAACATCAAACTTTAAAATAAATTCTATAGAAATTATTTTGAACTGGGACCACCAGCAATGAAGTACATGAATCATGAGATAAAATCAGATATTCTGTTGTATGCTAACAAATGTGTTTAAACAGTTTTCAGTACGCAGTCAAACGTGATTACAATGCATGCGAGGGTAAATATGTAAGTAAATAGCTTTAAATATCTCCATTAGATTTATGTTTTTTTGTTGAGTTACTTACTTAAATATCAACAGTTGCTTAATTACAGCAAGCTCTACAATTAATAGAAGCTCTGAAAGTGTTTAATAAAATAAAATTGGAGCATTTCACATTTTAAACTACAATTCAGTTTGTATATGGAAATTATGCTTCCTTTTACGTAAAATACAAACTACTTTTTTAGGCGATTATTACAAATCTAGTCATTTTACGTCCATTAAGAGTTACTTTTTTGGACCCACTTCACTTTTTTGTACTGACTTATCATTTCTTTGTACTCAGATGTCGAAAACTTACTTTTACGTCCTTGACCTTGTGTTTTTGACTAACATTTTTTTACATAAAAAATCCAAAAACGCCGTTATTTGGACTCCACCTTTACCTACTGAATATCGTTATAAAACATCACCGATTTTTTCTTAGTAGAGAAGTGGATTTATCAAATCTGCGGAACTTTTCCTCCAACAACGAAAAAAGATTTTCAAACCTCAAAATCACATACATAACAAAATATGTTTTTGTATGATCGCCTAAAAAATGTTGTGTGTACAAACTTCAGATCGGCCGAAAAAGTTCATTTTTACGGCGTTGATAGACAAAAAGTAGATGTATAGGTAGTATTAAATAGATAAAATTTATTTTTAAACTTTATAAGCGAAGTAAAAGATTTATTTAAAAATAATATTTCTTTCAATTGTTATAGATTGATTTTTCTCAAAAATTTTGAACATGGGTTTATTTTAAATACGAATACGTATTAATTAAAATATGAGGGACAACAATTTTATGTTAATTTAGCAAATGTATGCAAAATTTGCTGTTAAGAAATGTATTTACATGTCTATATTTCTAAAAATATTTACAAAATAGATTTTTAATAGTAATAAACAATAAGCTGCAAAAATTTAATTTACTTAAAACAACTTAACTTAAATTTTTGAAATACAATAAAACAAGAGTTAAAGGGATAGGACACAAAATAATTGACTAAAGATTTTACTTTTCCGTACTTTGAAAACTAAACTTAGAAAGTCAGGTCGAACTACAAAAAAAAAATACAACAGTTAATTTACGCGTAGGACGAATGAATGAAAAATTACTCAATGTAGAAATAAATTGCTAGAGATTTGGCACATTTCACCAATTTATAAATATATTTAGCAATCCTACACACAAATTTAAAAAATGGCGAATGTCCTTAGGCATATTTTATGTATTTTACATGTAACTGTCATGTAATATTTACCCTGTGGCTCGAGGATTAATACTTTGCAAAAAATTAACCTATCCAAAAGTGATTAATATCGTTGTACAAAATTCATTTTCATTAATTATACAACAACGAACATACCTTTGTTTATTTATCCACAAGACATTGCAATCATATAATAGATTTTTTTTGAAATTTAATGTTAAAAAAATAATGTTGTGAAGACTAACGCGTCCTTTGTTTAGTTTTATAGTTACGATCAATAAACTGTCAAATAAAGTGTCAAATTGCTACAATGACAGGATAATTATTTTTAAAATAAATTTCATTTCCTCCTAGAGAACTTTTTCCGATCATATACATGTACACTTTGTATACATGAATATAATTCTAAATTGTTTTAACTTTTTCTATCATTAATTAACGAGACATCGTGATTAGTGACGGACCCTGTATATACAATAAGCATTAACGAAACCTTTTGTTCTCGAACAAATTTGAAATTTTCGAATTCAATAATGACCATATTTTGAACTTCTTTGACGCCAATTTTGATTTACAAAAAATTTTAATTTTTTTTTGAAGTAGAAATGAGATAAGAACAAACTAATGTGAAAATGCAATACGAAAACAAAGTTTTATTGGAAGCTGTGGGTAAATAAAAAATAATAAACTGGCGTTAAAATATTTGGCAAAGGAAGATCGCAACTAAATTACTCTGTTGTTGCAGCAAACTTAGCTTTTAGCTGCGAATCCACAAATAACATTATCTTAAATCACAAGATGAATTTCTTATGAAAGAACACAATACCTATGGAAAACGACCTGAAACCATCACAAATCACTGAATAAAACACCAACACATGAAATAGATGACATACATGTGGGCATGTACAAATACAAAGTTACCTTCTCAAAATATCCCACGACATATACGCAAGCACAAAAACCGTGGAAAATCTCTCATCGTTTCTGTAATAATAAAAATAAGACTGTTAATGGTTGACGAATGGATGTTGTGAAGAAATAGCCAAATACGTTTTATTTCCGTATTCCAAAATATCTCACAAATGGGCTAGATCTAAATGAATGCTGACAGAAAGCCACAAACATAGAATGAATTAAATGTGTCGAAAATAGAAGCAGTTTTCTGATGTTGTGACTTGAGGTCTTCACGCAGCTTAGCGCAAGGACGTGGACAAATTGCAACGTATTCCGTATTAGAGTCTAGAGACAAATTTAAGACAAACTACATCTTAGATCACATTACGGCGACGAATGTTAATTGGCACGGATCGCACATACAGTCAAATAAAAGACGATTTACCACTCAATACGTTCTATTTTTAATTCGCATTTGAGTGAATAACTGACTGATTTATTTGGTGAGTTTTCAAGTTTAAATTTACAAGTCTAGACGTTTAAAAAGCCTGAAGAAAGATTGATGTGTGTGGAAAAAATTGACTTACCCTTGTACGGCATAGTTACCGAAAAACAGTCTATATAACAAAAGACGAAAATATTCGAACCATTCCCTCAACATGTTGCCATATTTTCACCTAGAAAAAGGGACACTTAAAAAGGCAAATACGCAAATCTCCGCCAATGCAAGGAGGATGACCTGAGTTATTTCCCTCAGAAAAATTAAACAATCGTGCTTCTTACACATAACAACGAAAAAAAATCATCACGGTCTAAGATTTTACACACAACTACTTCAGGTGGCTGTCGTAACATCCAGGGAGAACCAGGAGCCAAATCGGGCGACCACAGGAAGCGCATGTCACAAGCCTTACGGCATAGTCGAAATAAAACATATTCATGGTTTTTTTTAAGTGAAATAAGCCGAGAATAAAAAATAGCACAAGTAGACAATCAAACGTGAAGTAGAAACTGGCTTTTCTCTTTCCTTGCCAAAACATTTTTACGTGTGAATTATGTTACTTGTATAGGAACACTAATGAGAATTTTTGGAACCCTGGAAATAATCAGATTCCGTTTAGATCAAAAATAGGCGGTGAAAATAAACGGACTAGTTCGTTCTCTAAGCAAAGTCAATTTGGTTTTAGACAGCATCTTGAAGTATTTCTTGCATTTATTTGCGTCATTACCAATTTCATTAATCGTCGCTCGACGGTGGAGGCATCTTTGGATTCAGCAGTCCAAGGCAATTACCCAAACATTACAAGTTTTCAAAATATGAAAAAATAAAAGAGAGTTAATGGATTTTGATTGCTTAAAGCCCAAGCAGATGCATATTTCTTTAACAATAAATATGTCACTACCGGTACGTCACGGAGGTAAACACTACCTGGTTGCCAAAAAATTTCAGTAAAGGTTAATGTAATTGGAACAAAACCCAAATACCTATTGCAAATTCTTTTTAAGATTTCGCTCAAATCCTCTCCAAAATTCTTAGTTACTTAAGATATTTTGAAAGAGAGTTTTTCATGCAACAGTCGAGACATATAAAATTTTTCATTGTCGGCAAATACTTGTATTTTTAGCAAGGAATTCTTTCGCCAGCACATGTGTTCTTGCAAATCATGGCCAAGTGCCAGATTGGCTTATCTGTGAGAACAATCGTAAGAGATACTCAAATCCGATGTCAACTGATCGACCCGGAGAGTGAGCAGACACCGCTAGAAGAGAACGAAAAGTGTTTGTCTAATGAAACGTGTTACACCTTGTCCGTAAATATAATCAGAAATAATAGATGACTAAGAGTGCAGTATTAAATGTTTAGATTCATCAGAATGATAGTTTGTATGTTCGTCCCAATTAAAATAACATTTGGCGGGTTAAGAAGTTGGTGTTCTATTTCAGCCTGCGAGGTCCGTTGTTGTAGTGGCTCAGCACTTTGCCAACATTTTGTAGATAAATAATTTGAATCTGCAAACTGTATAGTGCCTGAACACATCACCTCGAAAAACCTCTAAACTCTAAACAATGGCTGAAAAAATAAATAAAATAGATAAATATTTTCGAAACAACACCCAGACCTTTTTTGTTGTGAAAAGTTTAGCTTTATTTCCAAAATTTCATAAAATCGAAAAATAAAATGGGTGAAACGCAGTAAACTTCAACAATTCTCTGAAAATATCATAAGACAAACGTTACTCAGTATAATACATGTGTGGACATCTGTGTCATAAAATGATTCATGTACGACACTAATGTGCTTCATTGTGAAAATAAAAAGTCTAGTTACTAACACATTACCAATTAGTATATTTAAATTTAGCAATATTGTTATTCCACACTTTTTTAAAACAGAAAAAAATTAAAAATTAAAAAATTAAAAGTTTATTTATTATACTGTGTTTCCTACTTTCTACTGTATTAATCAAACGAAAACTGATGCGATATCAATGCAAAAAAGCAAATTTTGAAACTAGGATAACAGAGTGGTTGTTAAAAATAAATCGTTTTAACTTTTTTTGCATAAAGCAGCAATTAACTCATCAGACTTACAGTTTTTAAAAAGGACACAGTTGAGATTTTGTCGACGATGTTAGCTGAGTTTAAAGAGGCCGGCGGATGACTAATTTCGTGAACGCGTCGGTGCTGACCGACGTCCAAACCGATCGACGCCGATACCACCCGCAAACGACCGACAACCGACAATATTTTCAGCAATTTTGCAGCTTTTATTGTTTTACTTTCTGAAATGTCCGCAAATAAAACGAAACAGACGTCGCTACTTGTGTTTTTCAGTTATTTTAAGACAGTCAATCAGTTGGGCTGGGCTGGTTGCTGTTGCACACATAAACTGGAATTTATGCTGACGGTGTTATATTTTCTTCGCTGTATTGCGGAATTTAAAAAAAATCAGATATGTTTGATTTTTTTTTACCAAACAGTTTAATACATGTGGACCGTTGGCAATGTTATGAAGAGTAAATCAAAAGATGTACATGTATAAATGAAAACACATTTTATTATGAGGAGATAACTTTTATACTTTTAACGATATTCTTTTATGTGAGAGAATAAATAGCAGAGGCGGTGTCATTAAAGGTTTTATAAAGTCATTGCAAAATTGTGTGTTTGTAGCATGACTAAAATCTAAATTTTGCTAATACTTAGAGCCACCAGCTTGCCAGTTACTATGTAAATTCTCCGGATTTTATCTAAACTAATATTCTTCCTTTGTATACAATTACCGGTTAGTTTATACAAAATAAGCGGTAGTCGTATATGTGAACTAATTTAAGGCTACTATTCTTACAAATTCTTTATAAACAGTTTCAAAAATAAAAATAGATGCTGAAATGAATCAATAAAATGTTTTTTGGAAAAAGTTTCCTCTCAATTTCTAGTTAATTTTATCATTATCGGCACAAATACACTATTATGGCACGTAAAACTGACGCGAAATTGTTTAAGCATGATCTAAGGCCAAAAGATTTTCTGAAAGCATTTTACATTTTATGAAACTTTAGGTTTCTTTAAATGTTTATAAATATTTTTATAATGAATTTCTTGGGTTACTGTGATAAAAAAACTCATTTGTTAAAAAAATCACAAAATACAATTATTTAATTTAAATATGTAATTATTAATGTAGATAAAACGTTATAAGGATTATATTGGTGCATACAAGATTTTATTTTTCACCAGTTTTAAGAATTAGTAGTTATTTATACTACAAGGGATATGGTGATTGCTACCAGTCCGAGCGCTGGCGAGGGCAGGCAAAATAGTCCGAGACTGGTCAAGAACACTACATCTCGAGTTGTATTATTTACAAAAAATATATGATATGAGAATATGACATTTACCTAGCTGAATAATCATCGTTCCCGAAGGTGGCCTCTATTTAAACCCATACTTCTGCGATCGAGGTATTTCTCGAATATCCATCGCGACCAGGCTTTTCGAACGCCGCTTCAAGACTTTGCTGGACGCCGCAATCGAGACTTCCGATGAGTCATACTACATACTAGAAGAAACACATAGATATTAGAAGACCCATAGACGTCGTAGCGGGGAGGTGTATGAGTTTATTTCGTAACTATACTGTTTAAATCAACTGTTTGTTAGTGACAAAAGTTGAGTTTATTTAAAATCAATGCTACTGTTTGTTCTTGTACTATAAATATCTGCGAAAAATGAAAATCCCTCAGGAATGTGAGTTGTTAATTTACTTCCCTTTGCCAATAACAGTCAAAACTTGTTTAGTATAGTTTTGGAAATTTCATTCTACCCTATAAAATTTTATTGACAATAACGAGGCGGACAGTAGTATGATGGTAAGAAATATTTATGGCTCACACCAGTCCACTCGAATTTGTCGAAGAACATTTAGCAAGTAGTTGTACGCACAGGGTCGGACTTTGCTGTTTTAGTTTAAAAATTGAAGACTAAGTAAAATACCGTGTCCCCCGTTTTCCTGAATTTTAACTACTTCAGTTAATTTATTCTTATGACTTGTAACATTGCGCTTCTTTGTTCTATAACTCTCTGTATTTGTTTAAAAAATTAGTGAACTTTAACAATAATTATTTTTAAAGGTAAGTTTTTTCTTTTACATTCAATAATATGCGTATCTACAGCGTGTTATTGAAAGTTACGTACAAAATAAAATCGGCAATTGGTTTCGAAGTATGGGTCCTAATAAGCAAAAAACCTTTCAATAACACCTGTATATAAAACTTTTTAAGAAATTAAAAATGACTCTTTGGAGACCGTTTTTCCCTAGGAAAAAGAGAGGAAAAACTTTATCGTCAGATGGAAAACAACTAATTCTTTGTTGTTTCCAGGCTTTTCTTTAGCGAACGCCGTCCGAGTCAGCCATCATCGCCGCACATACTAGAAAACCTATAGGCGTCGTACCGCGGCGGCGTATGGGTTTATTTCGTAACACTGCCCCCTCCTTAGTTCTGATCATCCCGATCAGAAATATCCATGGTGTCACTGTCCTACTTCATGGGGCGGCCTAAGTGAACAATCTTCATTTTCGAAAATATATGCGCCTTCCCAGTCTGGTGACAACTTCGGGAAACGACCATTCCTTCTTTGAGGGTTATAGAGCCATTCTAAATCTCCTGTCTGGAACTCTACAGAGTTGTCCCTAAGATCGTAACGTGTCTTCATTCTACCACTCGCCACTCTATTATTGTGGTGCAGCATTTCGTGAACGCTCGGCAGCTTCTCCTATAAGCCATCGTGGTAGCCTTTGAGCTTTTGACATACTTCCTGTACTTGTTCCCTTCTTCGATCACTACACGATCTAAGGTCTTTTAAGCAGCTCTCGACATCTTCCCGCCAACGGACCCAGTAAAAGCTCTCTCTAATTTTGGAAAGCGTCTCGTTGATTCCAAAATGAGCACCAGATGCCCCATTGTCCATTTCTCGAAGTACTTCCCTGATTCTGGTGGCCGGAACTACCAACTGCATGGTAATATGTTTCTGTTAAGTGGTAAATGCTTTATTTATCAGGGTACATTATATATTAATATATGTATGTACAACAGTAAGTGGTGGAATTTGTCTTGGTCTTCCACCGGTCTTCGTGTATTCGACCAACTGTCCGCCAATCATCCCTCCCCGGCTTTTGGACTCTGCCAAGCTCGCTTAAGCAATCCGTTGTCGACACGGAGGGAGTCCTGCTGAGCCCATAACGCCTTGAAAGAAGGTGACTCGTCTGATATCTCCGACCAACTTGGACGTTCTACCCCATCTTCTTTCCATTTGAGTAACGGGCGGATATCCACGTCTT